ACGCGACCTTGAAGCACTCGCTCTAGGACCCATATCTTAAAGAGACGGTCCTTGTCCTATAACATCTGGCAGTTCATCAGCATTGATTCAAGCAAACCTGACTGCTGATGAGGCTCTTTGTCAAAAACGGTCAATGCTGCTGAAATTATTCACTCCCAGAAGGCCGTAGTGCCGATGGGTTGTGTAAATATTTTTTTGTGTATGTATAGGGACAAATGTTATGAAAGATATATTGTCTGCTTATCTATTCTGGACTGTTACGAGCATGCGCAGTCACCGTGTGACTGGGCAAGACTGACAGTCACTGATGAATACTGACCGCGAAGAAAAGCCAGTGGGATTGGCCAAGACACATCGCTAGAAGGGCAGATGGACGAGAATGGTGACAGAATGACAGTCAATGGACGGAATCCATGCGAGGCCAACCACTGTTAAAATGGAGTGATGAGATCCGCTCATGTGCAGGAGTAAGAAGGATCGTGGTATCACGGGATTGTGAGGGATGACGGCAAAGTCTGAAGGTCGTCATCCAGCAGTGGATATACGGTGGCTGAAAATGTATCCATTGTTGTACTCTATTTACGCACTTATTTGCTCCCTACCTTCGCAAAGCAGTACTGACCATTGTGGTAAAATGTGTTCAAATAACCAAGACGAGTGGTGAATACTTAAACCAGCTGTGAATATACTACAAAGGTTGAACATATATCCAGGGTGTCTTTAGGGTGTATGGAATTCGGGGTTTATGTGTACTACACAGCCGGTTCCAAACGCAGGGAAACCAGGGACCCAGACCAAACCAGGATTCAATCAGTCCCAAACTCGGTCCCGACCTCATCAGACCTGGAATCCGTCCTGCACAAACCGGGGACCCAACCACACCAGAACTGGAGATTAAACGAGGCCAGATCTGAACACAATCCAGACGATCATCAATTGCCATCTCAGACCCGACCCAACTGCATTGTGAGTGCTGCTTATGTCTTCTTCACATGCGTTAACTACAGCAGAAGCGTGGGAGTGAAGCAGTGTGCACGACTGTTCACGTCCACAGGTGTCCATGTGTGTGTGTGGAGGTGTGATGTGACACAAGGTATCTACTACGTGGGATGAGACAAGGTTATCAAGGCTCAACTCGCACGTCACAGATTCCTTGACTCGTCAAATGTATCTGCCCTGACAAGTACTTCCCATCTCATCCTATATTGAACCCTTGTATCATCTGATACAGAACCCTTGTCTCTTCCAATACTATTACAATTTTTTTTATTTCACCAGGTAGGGCCCACTGAGCTATATACCTCTTTTTCAGAAGCGACCTGGCCGCAAATGATAGCTCAACGAAGTAGCTTGTGGAAATTTATAGCAGCCAAATACTCTAAACGCATGTTTATAAATGAGAAAAATCCACCCAACCACGAGGATAACATGCAAACTCCAAATTTACAGGCATCAGGGTCGGGATCGAACCCACGATCTCCTGCATACCAGGCGAGGTAGTTAACATCTTGCCACCATCGCCTCATCCAGTACAGAATCCTTGTCTCATATTATATAGAAACCTCGTCTAATTTAATACAGAACCCTCGGCTTACTTGACACAATATCCTTGTCATCACAAACATTGTGTCCTCCACATGTGTATACATATATTCAATTGTCTGTGACACTGATTTGCTCGTAGAATATTTATATTGAACCGAACGTTGCACTCTTCCCACCTAAAGTTTCAGTAAATTCCTGTTGCTCGTTTGGCATGACATCAGCCAATCTGAGATGGGGAGGGGGGTAACATACTTTCCATTCTATATTTATAACTTTTTTTTATCCGCTTCCAATGTTTCTAAGACATCTACTATCACTGTGAATATCTTGCCTAAAACTTGTCTTCATTGTCTGCTGCTTATTTTACATGTACAGTATTTTCTTTCTTCATACAATCCCAGCGAAGCAGTTCCATTTGTGTAAATGTTTTATTTTTTAAGTTGCATGTCTAAATTATATTCCATTTAGGCCTCGGGTTTGTAAGAGCTTGGAAGACTTGCACCATTTCCACTGTGCCAAATGCCCTTTTTAAAGTCTTACAATAGCCAGGCACTATGGTGTTTGATTTTCATCTTTTTTCTTCCAGAATCTGATTGATAGTATGCATTGTTATTCATGGAAGAGAAACCTTTCGTACGCCTGTCTTGCTCATGTTGTTGCTTGGTCTCAAAAAATGTATTTCTTCATTTCCCCAGTGATCTTTGTGAGCAATATTTGCACATGTTAATAAGTCCGATGGAAATGTAAAAATATAAGTGGGTTTTTATCATCCTTTTTTAATATAAGAATCATTTATCCATCCATGAGTCAGATATTTCATTACTGTGTAAACATTTAGTAAATTGGTCTGATAATTTATTATGTACTTCTTTGGTGTCCATGTTGTCCACAGTTGAATAATTTAAGGCCGGGGTTTTTTCCCTCTGTTGGTTATTGAAGGGCAGAGTGCACTTCTTCAAATATAACATCTGAAACTTCCTCCCCTTCATCCGAAAAAACAGCTCGATTCCCATTCGATAATTTTGATAAAGAGATATGCATACAATTATTCCACAAACTTTAAGATTCTATCGTGTGTTATGATTCCATCTTTCTCCCCAATGGCTTTCATTTTGTCAATTGCCAACCATCAACCTCCTTTTTGCTTTTATCGTGCTCCCATTGTTTGCAATGTCTTCTGTGTTCATTGTTTGGTGCTGCTATTATCAGTTTCTTGGTATATCTCTCCTTCCACGGAGTGTCTATTGTGGTTTTCAGACTGCTCCTTCCCTGAATGTTATCATTGGCCCTCACTTTGAATGCAAAGCTAATTACAGGCAAACACACAAGATAGTTAACGTCAAAAATCTAGGTCAGCAGGGAGTCGATTTTAGGCAAAATCTAAACAACAGATTCAAATGCCCATAGGAGCAAGATTATAAAATGGATGTCACCACCTTATTATATACTGCATGCATTGACTAGCATAGAGTATATATGTGTGTTATATGTGTGTTTAATCATGTTTATGTGGCACTGTGGTACGGGAAACAGCGAGGATAACCGGCGTGCTGCGTTCAATTCCCAGCCGCGGCTGACCTAAGTGGGCAAGTGATATCTAAATCGGACCCTCGACATCTCGTCCGTCGACTCAGCCTTAAATTAGTATCAGGCGCAATGTGTACACATTATCACTGGGGAAACGAAGGCAGCCAGGTGTTGTGCTAGCTAGCCACACCAACATTTCGTGCGCCATCACAGCGTTGGGTAGGTGCTTGCTCACAGGACTTGCCCCACCAATGTTAAGGCTTTAGGGGAGGATCTTTGTGCTTGTGTGTACAGTATATGTCTATGTATATGGTCGTACGGGTAAATGCGTGTACTGTATATATACATGCCTTGAGTGAAGGCGCTCTATAAATATAAAGTGTGTATGAGTGTGTGGCTGTGTGCGTATATGCGTGCGAATGTCTGCGTGTGTCTATTTCTACGTGTGCGTGTGTTTACGAATGTGCCCGTGTATATGGGTGTGTATGGGGAGCGGTGGCGCAGTGGTTAGCGCAATGCGCTACGAACCCGGCAACCCGAGTTCAATTCCCGTTCACGGCCGACAATCAGTGACGATTACCTGTACCGGTCCTGAGCATCCCCTATAGGTAGACTCAGCCTGAAATTACTACCTGGTGCGTTGCGTAAACATCAACACTGGGGAGACAAAGGCGGCCGGGCGTGGTGCTAGCCATCCAACTCCAACGTGTGCCGTGCCGGCCTTCATATGTGCTCGCAATTATCTCTCCAGCAGTCTTGTTAAAGGCTATACGGGTGGTGGTGGTGGTGAGAGGGCATCTTTGTCGGCCTGTGTGTCGCTCTCTTCCTGTGTGTGTGTGCACGCCCGTGTCTTCTCGTCTGCATTCCGCGCACGTTCCGCGCCGCTCGTCGCATTGTGAGATATATATTTTTTTCTCTTCATCAATTTTTAATTCATCCCTTTCTTATTGCAGCCCCTCTTTATATTCATTTCCTGTCGCTCCACGCAGCTCCATCCCCGCAATGCACACGACCGTGCACACGCTCTACATTTTTTTTTACAATTTCATGCTCGTTACATGCAAAATATTCTCTGGGCCCGAACGCGAACGGAAACCCAACCCAGCCTGGACCAGACCAGACCCAGGACCGCAAAAACGATCTCGAACCAGACTCTGAGAATCTTAACCCCCTAACCTTAACTCTGCGTGCGTGGTATTTACGATCTGCGGTTCCCCAGATCATTAAACCCCCCAACACAGACCATACCAGACCGGGAACGCAAGCCGAACCAGACTCAGAACCGTGTCCATGACCCGGCCTAGAACTTAAAGCCACTAGGGGGCCAAGAGCCGAACCCCTAACCAATAACGCATCGTGCAATGAGGATCATGGGTCTCCAGATCCTTAAACCCAACGCAGATCAGACTAAGAACGCAACCCGAACTCTAAACAGACCACGACTCAGAACCTTACCTCCGATTCCTGCCAGTTACTCAAACCCAGGCACAGGCTCGAACCTCGAACCCTACCGATGATTCTAACCCCGCATTATATTATGATTTCCAGATCCTTAAACTCAATCGAACCGAGAACTATGACCGGCCCACAATTCAACCAAACCCGAGTTATACAACGGGTCCCCATACAGAACCCTGAATCAGGAATCTTCTTAAATTTACCCTCACCCTGACTGAAATGCTAACAACCCCTTCCCTAGACCAGAACCTGGGCTCTTAAACCAGGCAGAGGTCGCTCAACCAGGACTCGAACCCAAACCCCAACATGAAACAGGGATCAGAACCCCGGACTAAAAGGCTCCAAAGGCTAATTCGGATCCGATCCCATACACCGAAACGCATAATCCGGATTCTGAAATCCATCACAGGAACCGCGCATCCGGACTCGAACCTTAAAACACGATCTCGAAACCTGAAAGGCGAACTCACCGATATGGACATAGGATGGAAAAGTGCTGCCGGTTGCTCTGGCCATCACCAGCATCATCACCAGCATCACCTTCAACCACAGCGCTGTTGTCACCTTCGCCATCCCCGCTGGCCGTCTTCCCATCACCATCGTCATCTCCCTCCTCATCACCCCCGTGCCCATCCTCACCGTCGCCATCACCCCCTCCCTCCTCATCACCCCCATCGTCATCCTCATCGTTTCCATCATCATCACCATCATCCTCCTCATCACCATCGTCTTGGTCGTCGTCGTCGCCGTCGTCATGGACTCTGAGACATCGACCCCGGCACCACCACCAGCACCACCACCACCTCCTCCTCCTCCTGAATCACGGCTCCTCCCGTCTCCACAACGACAATGTCACAGTGAGGAGAGGGGAGAGAGACCAAAAAAAAATGTGAAAATAAAAAAAACCCACACCGAGAGGGGGGAACACCGCCAAATATTAACCAACCGCCTCGTCGCTCACGCTCGACGCTTGAGATTGCAACATTTATGTTGAATTAAATACGAGGGGGTTTATATAAATGTATATTATTTAATTTTTGCGCAGACGGGAGATGGGGTTTGGTGGTGGTGGTGGTGGGGGAGAATACAATCTTCGCTTCAGCTCGCGCGCCCGGGCGCACAGAGCGAGGAGGGGTCCATGGCTGCTGCTGCTGCTTCCTCCTCGCCAGAGAGAGAGACGGTGGTGAGAGTAGTGGGGGGAGAGTGGTGGGGGGGGGGTGGGGGTGGTGGGGGGGAGAGTGGGGGAGTGGTGGGGGGGAGAGTGGGGGAGTGGTGGGGGGGGGGTGAGAGTAGGGGGGGGAGAGTGGTGGGGGTGGGGGGGAGAGTGGGGGAGTGGTGGGGGGGGGTGAGAGTGGTGGGGGGGGGTGAGAGTGGTGGGGGGGGGGGTGAGAGTGGTGGGGGGGAGATTGGTGGGGGGAGAGTGGGGAAGCGGTGGGGGGGGGAGAGTGGGGGAGTGGTGGGGGGGTGGTGAGAATGGTGGGGGGGGGGGGGGGGGAGATTTGTGGGGGGAGAGTGGGGGAGTGGTGGGGGGAGTGGTGAGAGTAGTGGGGGGGGGGGGTGAGAGTGGTGGGGGGGGAGAGTGGTGAGTGGTGGGGGGTGAGTGGGGGAGTGGTGAGAGTGGTGGGAGGGAGTGGTGAGAGTGGTGGGAGGGAGTGGTGAGAGTGGTGAGAGTGGTGGGGGGGGAGTGAGAGTGGTGGGGGGGGAGAGTGGTGAGAGTGGTGGGGGGTGAGTGGGGGAGTGGTGAGAGTGGTGGGCGGAGGGGAAAGTGGGGGAGTGTGGGGGAGTGGTGAAAGTGGTGGGGGGGGGGGAATAGTGGGGAGGGGGTGGTGAGAGTGGGGGGGGGGAGAGTGAGGGAGTGGTTAGAGTGGTGGGTGGGTGATGAGAGTGGTGGGGGGAGGGAGTGGTAAGGGGAGGATTGGTGAGGCGAGATTGAGATTCACTGATGAGATATTAAGATTTTGTAAGGCAATATTGGGATTTTATGATTCGGTTTATGATTGTTTAGACGAAAAATATCGGGGGTTGACTAATTCGGTTTATGGTAAGACGAGATGTTTCTGTATGATTAGTGAAAAGAGATTTAGATTGGTGAGGCGAGATTGAGATTGTATTCATTAAGATCATGGTTGGTGAGGCGAGAATGCCATTGGTGATGTGATATTTATAATTGTGAGGTGACATTGAGATTGGTGAGGCGAGACTTGGAATGGTGAGGCGACATTTAGATTTAATAATTAAGATTTCATCATTAAGATACGAGATTTTAGATTGGTGATGAAATTAAGATTTGTCAGGCGTAATTGAGATTTGTAAGGTGAGGTTGAGATTTATTGATTAGGTTTATGATTATCGGGATGATATTGAGATTATATGATTACATTTATGATTAGTGAAATTATATTTTTTGATTAGTAAAGCCAGATTTAGAATTGTGATACGAGGTTGAGAATCATGAATTAAAATTTATTGGTGATGTGAGATTGACATTCGTGATGAGAGTTACAGATTTGTGAGTGCATATTTAGATTTATTAAGATTAATATTGATGTGTTTTGAGCTGGTAATGTGTGAGGGAAGATCTATATGAATGAGAGACTTGGATTGCACTAAATTGAGATTAACAAATCACGTTTATGATTTGTGAAGCGATACTTAGATTGGTTTATTAAGCGAGATTGGCACAGTTGGAGTTAGAATTTAATTGGAGAGGTGAGGATGTGAAAGGGACCAGAGCATCGAGCTTGCACTGCTCACCAGTAACTGCAATGAAAAATAATTATATTATTCTTTTCGCTTAGTATGGATACATTCCAACTCGGAGCCTTAAACGTTTTAGTTTTGATTGACAGCAAAGAAAAAAACTAGTAGCAGCGCAGATAAAAGTCGTTCCCCTAGTGTGGATAAATAATTCAATGAAATACCTTAGGAAGTAGTGGTGTGCCGTCAGCCCCCAGTGTTGTTCTATGATGACAACAGGGTGGTGCACTGCTGGCTGCTGACTTCCAAGTGGAAAGGCATTCGTATTAATGACTTAACGAATATAACATATTTAAAATATATGGGTGGGGGGGGTTATTTATATTTCATTTTGAACATTAGTGAGGTGAGAAGAAATTTGGTAGGACGAGATTGAGATTTTAGACCATCTTGAAATAGGTGAAGTCATGTTGAGATAGGTTGAGGCTTGGGTGAATTGGTTAGGTGATTTTTATATTGGTGAAAGGGGAGCATTGCAATTGTCAAATGAGATTGCGATTTGTGAGGTTAGATTAAGATTTAAGATGGGAGAGATTGAGATTGGTAAGGTGATACTTGGATTTAACAATTCAGGTTCTGATTGATGTGGTGTTGTGGAGAAAATCTACCAATAGCTGAGTAGGCCGAGTTTTTATTTTTTAGTGTGTGATTCGGAAATTTGAGATTTAGATTCGAGACTCGAGGTATAAATCAGTTTGTCAACATTTCTAATGGATTGCTGAAGTGAGATTCACGTTGCTCAAGAGGAGATTTGGAATGGATAATTGATAGTTATTTTATCGAACGGATATTTAAATCGTGTAACGAACATTATGCACCACCATAGAGGAGTCGACAGGGTAACATACAATCAATAAAGAGGCAGGAGTCTTGTCTCCACATTCAAAATTAAATAAAAAACAGACTTTAGCTTATATATTCTTGTTTCTTTCGGTAAAGTCACGTAGAAAACCATCAGGTGTGGTTTTCACACCTGATGATGATTGCTTGTGTTGCAGTCGAAACGTCGTGAGAATTTTATTGTTTTATATTTGTATTATTTTATTGTTTCCCTTCTACGTGGTGACTTTACCGAAAGAACCAAGAATATGAATCCCTGCAGTCACGAAAGCTTTAAATCAAGACTTTAGCTTCATCATCCCATGAGGTATTGTTTGCTCCAGCAGCAAATCCCGCACTGGTTTAGATTTCTGCGAGTCTCATCAGCAGGGTTGTGGCCACTTAATCAAGCGTTGATTATTGACTAGCGGATATATTGAATTGCTTGATATTGCTCGAGATTTAAATCTGCGCATCAATATTTTTGATGTGTGAGGCGAGAATCATATTCTTTGACCATCGTTTGACATTCGATAATTAATCCAAGTGTGCTCATCTTATTGATTAATACGATTTACGAACATTTAGACTTGAGCATTAGGGTTGTAATTTGTGGACTTGAAGGTTTAAAATAATTGATATTGTGATTAGATTTAGACCCATGTATGTTTGAAAATCTGCTGTAGGTTTATAAAGGAAGGTTGAAATGTCGATGTTTGCTACGTTCGTTGTTATTCAGGCTTCGACGGAATAATTTTTTCCAGCAAATTAATACAAAATAAATATTAAGCTTCATCGCCATATCTGTCCCTCAACATAAAATATTATTATTTTTTAACATCTCTTCAGCTATACGGCCTCCTGGGGAGTGATCTTTTTTTTTAAACCAGCATTGGTTTAATGCAGGCAAACTCTGGACCGGCTTCATCAGCAGACCTCTCAGCTTGTTTGAACCAATTCTGATGAACCGTTAAACCACAAAAATTACCACGTGTAAATTGTTTTTTTCGCATTTCATATAAACGAGATGCTCATTGCGAATTCACCATCCCTCCTTACTTGACATCCAGTAATTTATTTATTTTCGTAGGAGGCAAACACAATCTCTGCAGATCGTTATTTACATTTTTTTCTCTCAAACATTAACCAATCGCATTCAGCATTCACTTCAGAGTCGGCCGTGTAAAAAAAAATAGCTCTTATATAAGGTAAGGGGGGGGGGTGATGCCACAATACGTGAATATTTTTAGGTATTTCTGCTAAAATTGTGTCATATTTGAGGGAAACCCCGGCTCGCCGTTTACATATTTAACGTAAGTTGGGTCTCTCTGTGGTGATCGGATGTTCATATACAATATTCTTGTGTTCGTGCCACAGCTACACCGGCAGCGCCGCGCCTGTGGCGGGTGGGGGGGTGCCGGCTTCTGAAATGGAGCCGCCGCGCGCCGCCATTTTATATCGCAGTTCACTTCGGCGCGTCACCGGCTCCCATTGGACAGCGGGGCTCGCGCGGGGGGAGGGGCGGGGCCCCACGGGCAAAGCGGGGCGTGGTTTACGGCGGTGACGTCACAAGGTTTGTCTTATCTCGTTTGTTTTGGAACTTAGGGTTCGATATACGGATTTTCGCTTTGCGGACAACTGTTTTCAGAAAGGCGTCCGTTTCGTATATCGAGAGATGCCCATATTGCTCAAGACTTTAATTCAGCTGGTGAGGCTCATTGAGCTAAGACCGCTGTTTTACAACTCGACGCATTCGTCAAAAACACTGTCGCTGTCAAAGGGAATAAAATGGCGCTCCGTCCACTGGCCCTAAATAGCACATACAGATAATTTATATGTGAGAGTTGAGCGTGTTTTAAATGTAATTCTTATCAGAAACCGGTCCAGAGTTTGCTTTTTCAAAATCAATGGTGCTCCCAGAAGGCAGTTGGGTTGTAAAAGAAATACTTTAATATTTTTACGTGGAAATACAGATATATGAAATTGAAAATAACCTGATCATCTAGTTGATCAAGTTAGAGGCTAGGGTTCTTAAAAATCGGGTTTTTTTGTATTACCAATAACATCAGGACAAAAAGGTTTACAACCCAGTCTTATTTCTTTTTTAGCAATCAACATAAAATGTTTGTTAGCACACTGGACTTGCAATCCAGAACCTACTGGTTCGTTTTGATTTCCAGGCGTGGCAGTTGAAATCATTGGGCAATTTTTTTACATCCACCAGCGTATCATGTAACGTCGCGTGTGGTGGGCTACCCTGTGGGTACGATCATCTCTTCCAAAGCGTCTGGTAAGAGTGGGACAGTAGACCAGATACCCTCTAGAGCCCAATCTAGCCGAGGCTGTTCCGTCAGCAGCAGCATGAGCAAGCAATGCAGGGCTGTACTCTTAGAATTTCAATTAGAAACGAGGGCAAATATTCCATGCGGTGACTTAGGCCGCCATGCCGTTTGTAACTTTACACGTGCTGATAAGTAAAAAAAAGCAGTGTATGCATGACAAAAAATGTCACTGATTGGGATGCCACGACAGTAATTGTATTTCCATTAATAGAATTAGAGTATTTGGGATTTGTTTTATTAAATAAGGTACGAGTGGTGGAGTTCAGGGGTCGGCAACCTGCGGCTC